GGAGTTTTTCTCGCAATATTCATATATATATATTCAAACAACGCCACCTTCCTCCAGCGTGAATTAAACAATTAAAGAATCTCTTCAGGCTCTGAAGTTTCTAAACTAAGAAATATATATATTCGGTCATAGGAGCCGTTCGCTAGGTGTTGTGCGGAAATTATTATTGTCTGCGTTCTAAGAAAGTAGGACGTAAAGTTGTACGTAGATGTCGGTTTGGATTTACTCGTCCTGTCACTGAAACATTGACAATAAGAGATGTCGCAAGTTCGATAGCAGGTAGAAAACAATTAAAACATAGAAGTAGGCTTTACGATCTTCCTCGTAGACAAAATGAAAGTGATATCAATGATTATAATCCTGTCCTTCTTATTGCTTGGGAAGGAAATATGGATATACAATTCATTGGTGAGAAATCAACATTACTTACATGGTACGTTACAAAGTATATGAATAAAGCGGGAAAATGTGAATTATCTGAATGCATTACCAATAGTACAAATAATCAAAACAAATCACTAGGAAGTTATTTTTGGAATATTGCTTTGCGATTTACGCAAAACAGAGAATGTGGAGCTCTCGAAGCTGCTGATACATTATTAAGTATTCCTTTATACGGAACTGATCAAAATACGACTATTAGGTGGCTAGATGTTAATCAAATTAGATATAGAAAATTAAAGACTCGCAAAGAAATTGAAAATCTTAATAAAGAATCTACGGACATAGTTTGTCCGTCTTTGATAGATACTTATTATCCAATAAGACCGAAAGAATTAGAAGATGTATCTCTTTATGAATTTGCAAAGTGGTATGATATCACGAAAATAAAACCGAAAAGTAAGTATGTCGTATATTACAAAATAGATAATGGTCTATATCTTAAAGGACAGAAGCGTGAATATCTTATTAATCATTATACATACGACGTGAATACACAACCAGAGAATTATTTCTTTTTAAAGATTTAACGCTCGTGAAATTGTCAACAGAAATATGTAAGGCCGATACGAGCCATTCGCAGGATGTTTGTGCGGAAACTAAGCGTGTACATATATATATATATATACATGTAACGAACTATACTTATAAATTTTTACAAAAGTTAGTTTCCGCACAAACATCCTGCGAATGGCTCGTATCGGCCTTACATATTTCTGTTGACAATTTCACGAGCGTTAAATCTTTGAAATTACGCTGGCTGCAATTTAGCGTTAACAGTATCATCAAACCAATTTCGATATAT